CAGCCTATGGTTTACCGAAGTTACACAAAGAAGGGTAACTACCAAGAATGATAGTCAACAACAAGTAGGGAGCAACATACAAATAGGCAAAGTTCATATGTCTGAAAGTCAAGAAGGTAAATGACAGATTATCAAACGCAGGGAAGCATTCATATGAATTTTCTCAAAGGATCACAAACATGACACTGGAAACAGAATCATTGGTAAGTTTCGATGTATACTCCATGTCCACAAACACCTCTGGAGAAAATGCGTCAATGGCCATGCCGGATATCTTAGACAAAGAAGAGGATATCCTGAAAGCAGAGGGGATCAGAAGGGAGTAGTTAACACGATTTATCAAACTGACATTAAGAACTACCCACTTACCATTCAATCTCTAGACAGACATTTGGAATTCCAGCGCTCATTTAGATTGGCTAATGTATACGGGAAAAAATTAAAAGGGAATTTCAAGACATCACCGCAACAACCAAGAGTACTCATACGGTATTTGGATGACAACTTTGTACTTTAGTCGCTTGGAAGAAAAAAATTGTAGGATTTCTCGATGTTTATCAATCAGATCAATGAAAGAATCAAGTTCACAATGAAAGTAGAGGAGGAGGTGCGTTGACTTCTTCCGGATGTTGAAGTCGTTTGCTCTAGTGAGATGCTCAAGATAAAATTGTTAAAAAAGAAATCATATGCCTAAATACTACTCACTTTTGAGTCTAATCAAGACTAAAGACTAAAGCTCAAAATACTCAATGACATGATCATCAATTTTGATTTTATGAAAATCAGATCAGCAATGTGGATAATAACCAAAAGTGTATTTGCTTGCCCTCATCACAACTGAGACAACAATTGCGACCTTTATTAGGAAAACGGAATATCAATGTGATAAGAAAGGAGAAGAAAACACTTTTCCCCGGTCTGCCAACGCAACACGAGAAGACGGATAAACTGGAGTGTTCGGGAGTTTATTGCATCAAATACGGCAACTGTGAGAAGAAGTAAATCGGTGAAAGAGGAAGAGAAATCGGTCTAGTAATCAAGGAACATCAAAGACTCAGCAGGAACATGGATACACAAAGATCAGAAATAGCGGAACATATTGCACGAACGGGGCACGAAATCAACTGGGAATCGACCTAAAGGTTGGCTGTATGTGGTGAAAATACGAGAAAACGCAAGATCCGAGAGGTCATCGAAATACTGACTGAGAGAAATCTAATGAACAGGAGACTTGGAGAAGGCAGGATCAGCGAAAACTTTGCATTTTGCCTGAACAAACTAGGAGAAGACCAGGCAACAGGAAGATCAGCAAAAAGAAGACGACTGGATTGAGGTAATATCCTTAATTTTAGGAAGAGGTCGCAAGGGGATAAAAAAGAAAGAATCAGAAGCGAAGAGGAGACATCTTCAGTAAGCCTAATCAAAACAAGTAAAACCACGAAATTTATGGGTTGGCACACAAGATACTAGGACGTAGGAAGCGATGGACATGGTATTACAGATAGAAACAGGAAAGACTAAAGCTATTTGGCTAACAATAGACGTGTTTGATCTGAAACGTGATCATGGAATCACGACTATTGTTAGCCAACCAGCTCTAGCTTCCACTGTTTCTATCCTCTTTCGATCCATGATACCAAGTCTATGACTTCCCATGCTCCAGTCTCTTGTGTGCCAGCCCACAAACGTTGTGGTTCAACATTGAACCAAATCAAAACAAGCTGTACCACAAAATGTGTGGGTTGGCACACAAGAGACTAGGGCATGGCGAGTCATAAACTTGGTATTCGGGATAGAAACG